CCATCCTGGGCCGTGCCGTGGCCAGGACTTGCTGCACGCGGTCCCGGGGCGAACCTGCTGCCGCTGCTGCGGTGCTGCCGGGTGCCGGTGCCGGGGGTCTGCCCGCTCCCCTTCCCTCCCTGCACAGCCTGCGGGGATCCTTGTTCCTGCAGGCAGGGTGGGTGCCACAGGAACAAGGTGCACGGGGAATGTGTGCTGCTCCAGGCTCGGGATGGATGCTGAGGATACACATGTGCACATCCAGACTGCATCGTGCATCTGTGGGGGAGATGAGGACCCCACACATAAGGGATGGACCTGGCTGTCGTGGCCTGTGATGAACCAGGAGCATTCGACCTCAGTGGGATCAGCCCACTCCAAGCAGCTTCAGGGGCTCATGTCAGTGGGAATATAGGATGGGATCACGGCTGCTTCCATGGGTGTCAGCCCTGTGGCCTCACTCATCCAGCCCCAGTGCGTGTCTCTGTAGGGTCCCAGGATAAGAAGGAGAGGGATGGAGAAACCAAACTGTGCTATAGGGTAGGGGTGCCCCACCCTGGGCTGGCTGGTGTCTGTGCATCTCTCTGCCACAGACATGCACACACAGGGCTGTGTTCAGGAACTGATCCCCTACAGCAGCTCGGGGTGCCAGGAATGTCCGGGGCTGATGGTCCACCTGGAAGCCCCGCAGCCACCCCACAGCAGGGCCCTGCAGCCCCTGTGGCCGTCCGAGGCCAGAGCCGGGACCGGGGCGATGCGCGGCTCCTGGGGCCAGACAGGAAGGAGACGTCACCGCCGTGGAGCGTAACTCAAACCAGATGGGGCTGCGCTGGCGTCCAGGCCTGCGGGGTGGTCACCGACAGGAACTGGTCAAAGGCTGCCGGCAGGAAGCGGCTGGGAGGGACGCCTGCGGCAGGAGCCGGAGCCCGGGCTCTGGCAGCCTTAACCACTTCAGGGCCAGCCACAGCTCCCCTGGGCAAAGAGGCACCAGTACCCTTGCCTGGACATCCCACCCGATATGGGCATATGCTGACGATGTGAGGACACGTCTGTCTGACTGACAGCTGATCCATCCACCCATCCATCCAGTCACTTTCCCTTCCCCCACTCCCCTGGGGGGCTCAGAGCTGTTGGGTGTGTAGACCAGAAACCCTTGGCACTCTGCCTGCACAGCCCTGCCCAGGACGTACCAGGTGGTCCCTGTCCACAGCACAGCCTGGACCCATTCCCTCTAACACAGAGATGAGATTCTGCTTCCCATCCTCATCTCACTTGTCCTGCGACTGTCAGGCCCCACAGGTGGGAGCAGGACCTCCCCAGCCCCTGGACTGGCAGGTGTGGGCTGTGGGCAGACCTGTACATTTATTTACAAGAAGGCGAGCGCTGTGGAGGGTTCCGTTATGGGGCCGTGGCTCCTGCCCAGAGGGGACAAGCCTGAAGCCCCTTCCCCTGCTGCAGCCAGTGTAGGGGTGAGGGGTAATGTTTCCCTGTGTCTCTCCCCAATGTTTTTCCAGCAGGCACAGAGGGCAGAGGCAGCTCCAGAGCAAACACGCAGCCTTGGCTTGGGGGAACTCAACCATGGCAAAAGCCAAAGCTGGGGGACCTCTGCCAACCTCCCATCCCCTCCTGCAGTGGGCAAGGCTGGATGCTGCAAATCCCAGGGGATGCCCATCCTCTGGCAGCACCGGGGAGGCCCAAGGGCTTCAGGCAGAGAGGACGGGGGTCGGGACAAGGCGCGGGAGCTGGAGCAGCGGCCCTGCAGCCCCAGCAGGTCCCGCGGAGCCCCCGCACGGGGCGGGGGAGCAGTTCCGGTGTGTTGGTGGTCGGGTGAGCGGTGCCGGCCGGAGCGGGGAGCGCGGACCAGCTGCTCTGCATTAGCCCGCCTCGCTCATCGCGATCTGCCGGGGACGGGTGAAGCAGAGGTTGTGTTTTTCCCCCGCTGGCAAAACCGAAGGGCAGGGAGGGCAGGAGGAACACAAAGCCTCCTTCTTTCCTCGTTGGCTCCCAGCTGGGGACGCCGCTGGAAGCGTGCTTGCTGCTTCCTCCCTTCCTGTGCGAGCAGCAGCTCGGGGCCAGCTCCGCTCCCACTCGCCCCGCTGGCCGGGAGGAGCTGCTTGAGCCCCGGCTCCGGTGCCAAAGCATCGGGGTGAGGGTCCGCGGTGCCCTCCGGCATCATCGCCGAGCCACAGAGCTGGGAAGGGAGGTCAGGCAGTGAGTGCAGGGGCCAGCGGCAGTGGAGGCGGCATTTACAGGCAGAGAGGGCACATTTTGAGTCCAAAAGCAGCAAGCACCAGGTGGCCGAGGCGGCGGGATCACACCGGAATGGCCTTCCTCCTCTGAGGGCACGAGAAGGAAGCGTGAGCAGAGCAGAGATGCTGCAGGTCGGGCATCACGCAGCCAGGCCAGGGACAGAGATGAGATCAGAAACCTTCACTCCGGAGCAGCTTCACAGTCTGAGGAGATCCCGACAGGAGCATCGGCTCGGTGGGAGTGAGGAGGGCTGGAGCCTCAGGAGCCTCAAGGCCACTGCGAGCACCCCCAGCGGTGATGTGGTCCTCAGAGCAGTGGGACCAGCTCCACAGAGCTGCTCCAGACTGGTGGGGGGTCCCTCTCAAGTGGTTCCTTTCTGGCCTCGGCTCCCCTGGGAGCCCAGCTCAGATGCCCAGCGCTGTCAGGGACCCCGAGCTGGTGATCTTCCTGAAGCGGTTGGCAGCACACACCCCGATGAAATTTTTCTGTGAAAGGGAACAGGAAAGATTCTCATCCTCTGGCATGGGCTGTGGCACTGAAGGTTGAGCCAGACCCAGCTCTGGGGCCTGACACTACTCCTGCCCCTAAAAGCTGCTCTTGGGATCGGCTCAGGAATAACCACCACAAAGGGACCTATTCTTGGTGCGGGTGTTAACTCAGGGGCACCCACACTCAAGGGTCCCCAGCCCTGTGTCCCAGCAGCACAGAGAGAGGGAGCCATTCTCCATGCTCCAGATGCTACCCACCAGGACAGGCAGAGTCCAGCAGCCCCCTCCCAGGCCCCTCAGAAGCTGCTGACCCTCATGCCCTTGCTGGACCCCGCACCTTCCAGCGCCGCCTCATGACATATTTCTTGAGCAGCACTTGGGACTTGAGCCGCCGGTTGGAGCGTTTGGCCTTTTCTGCCAGGTTATTGAGCCAGGGATGCTGCAGGCACTGGTCAGCACTCATCCGGGCACTGGGAGAAAGAGGAGCCCGTGTCAACCCTGCTCAAACCCCTCACCCCCAACCATGCCCTTCTCCAGCCACTCCAGAGCCCCCAAACCCCATAACCCTGCAGGGAAGAAACAGATGGAAGGATGTGCCCAGGGACTGGTGGAGCTGAGCAGGACTCTGAGGGATCCAGCACATCCTGCTTGGGACAGGTGTCCCTGCAGGGATACAGGGCTCTGTTGGGGACAATCAGAGTGGGACAGAGCCCCATGGGGTTAATTCAGTGCTGGACCCAGGAGATGCTGCTGGCCCTGGTGAAGAGGCAGCTTTTGATGACCAGGCCAGCTCTGGGGATGCCCATCCCAGGACCCCGTGGCCACTGCCAGCCTCACACCTCTTATCCTTGATGATGAGGTTGGAGACGAAGTCCTTGGCCTCATTGGAGACACTCTCAAAGGTCTCCTCGTCGAAGTACCAGTTGGCAGCCAGGACGTTGTTGAGTGTCTCGGTATCATCGTCACCCAAGAAGGGGGAGAGGCCGCTTAGCCTGGGGGTGCAGGGAAGTGAGGAGTCAGGTGTTCTCAGGCTTCAGCACCTCCCAGAGCCCCCTGGAGCAGAGCCAGTCCGGCCAGGGATGTTCCAGGGATGTGCTGCCACCGTCCTGTTCTCCTGACTGCCACCGGGATGAACCTTTTCCTGCCCCCCAGCCCCACACAGCCACCTCCCCATCCAGGACCCCCCCAACCTGCCACCAAGCAGCCAGGTTCCTGGGGACAAGTCTGCACCCAGGAGAGCTGTGTCCCAGCACACCACAGCTCCCCAGCATGGCACTGGCAGCCCCCACCCAGCCCTGACGTACAGCATGTAGGTGATGACGCCCATGCTCCACATGTCCGTGGAGTAGGAGACCTGCTCGTAGTTGACCACCTCAGGGGAGAGGAATTCAGGGGTGCCAAAGTTCACTTTCAGCTTCTCATTGGGATTGTACCTGCAGCCAAGGAGGAGTGCAAGTCAGCAGAAGGGGAACAGGCTGCACCCCCAAACCACTGCCTCTCTCTCAGCTGCCCTCCCCAGATAGCCAGAGAGCACCGTGGCCAAAGTAATGGCCTAGAGCACGTTCTGGGGCTCCTGGTACCCAAAGGCACACAGAGAGGAAGGACAGAAGAGGAACAGGGAGGTGGGACAGAGCTGAGAAAAAACCTCACCTTCGAGCCAGCCCAAAGTCGATGATCTTCACCATGTGCCCGGTGGCACTGACACAGAGGATGTTCTCGGGCTGTGGGGACAGGGTGACCATTGTCCCACCACCAAGACAGGACATCCCCACTGCACCGATCCAGCAGCCCATGGGTCCTGCAGCTGACCCGCACCAGAGCAATGCTGACCCACAGGAATCCCTCCCACAGCTAGCCAGTGTCCTGCTGTCACCCTTGGCCCTGCCATTGTCAGCCCCCAGCCCCGCACCTTGAGGTCGAGGTGGAGGACGTGCATGTGGTGCATGAAGCGGATGCCCTCGCAGATCTGCCGGACAAACACCATGCAGTCCACCTCTGTCAGGTGGTAGTCGTCATCGATGATCCGCTCAAAGAGCTCACCACCCTCCACACTGCATGGGGATGGACCATGGGGTCACTTTGGGGGGACTCCCTGCCCCAAGCCATCCTCCTGTAGAGCTCCTTTCCCTCCTGAGGACTCTGGCCCAGATCCACCATGGAGGTGCTGGTCAGAGCCAGAGTGGGATGTGGCATTTTGGGGCTGCACAGCCCCAGGGTAGGCACAAGCACTCACAATTCCATGAAGAGGATAATCTCCCGGGGTGTTTCGATGGCATCGTAGAGCTGGATGAGATTGTGGTGGTTCAGCTGGTTCATCACATCGATCTCCAGCAGCACCATCTCCTGCAGAAGGAGCCCCAGTGTGGGGTGTCAGCCCTGGCTGTGCCACTGGGACAGGCTGTGTCCCCACACCAGAGTGTAACACTGCCCGGCATCGTTCAGACCTTGTCCTTTGCTCCCTGCTTCCGGATCACTTTGGCTGCCAGCTTGAGCCCCGTCTCCTTCTCTATGCATGTGTGAACTTCACCAAACTTGCCCCTGTGGAGGAAGGAAGAAGGGAGAGAGGGAGAAGTGCCCACACCATCAGCCACCCAGGCTGCTGGGGACCCTGACACTGCACTGTGCTGCTGCTCTGCACTGCCCAAGGCACCCATCCTGCCGGAGGCACCCACCCATCATGACCAGAGGAGTCCCACCGACTCAAGGCCACCGCTCAAGGCTGGAGAGCAGCTTAGGACAGTGCCAGGAGAAGCACTGGGGCCGCTCCTTACCCCCCCAGGATGTCCTTGGAGCTGAGGCTGAACTGGGAGCTGACACTGGCGGAGCGCAGGGTGACAGTGCGATGAGCGAAGGGCGCTGGCGGTGGAGGGACATCATCTGCCCACAGACAAAGAACAAGGTGAGAAGAGAATCTGCTGTCCAGGGGACCCCACTTCTGGATACCCTGAGTGAAGACAGGCACCCAGCCAAGCCCGTAGGTGCAGGATGTGGCCAGGTACTGAGTGCTGGGCTGTGAGCCAGAGGTTCCTGGCTCAGGCTGCGCTGGATGATGCAGCAACCCCTGAAGGGTCCCTCGCTATTGCCCACAGCATTGCCCTTGTGCACAGCACCAACCCTGCTCCACAGCACCCACCCTGCTCCACAGCACCCACCCTGCTCCATGGCACCCACCCTGCTCCATGGCACCCACCTTACTTCACGACAGCCACCCCCACCAACCCACATTTACCATTTACCCTTTTCAGGCCATGTTGTTGTCTGTCACCCTCTCCAAGCCAACCCCACTCCATGCCACCACCTCCTGCTCACCCTCCCAGGACAGATCCCACTCACAAGGCACCCCATGCACACATTCCTGAGCCACCCTTTCCTAGGTGAGAGCAGGACCCAGCCTCACAGGGATCCCCACAAGCACCCACTGCCCCAAAGCCCTGCCATCCCCACAAGAAGAATGGTGCAGGATAAGAGGACATGCTGTTCCCTGCCACCAGCCAGCCAGTCACTGTCACTCCCCAGGCTCCTCTTCCTCTCAGTCAGTGAGGCCAGGGCAGGCCAGGAAGGGACCCGACATATTTAGCCCTGTTTACAGTGAAAGGGGAGCTCGGAGGCCATGAGGCAGGTGACAAGCCAAGGACAGGAGCTGGCAGCACAGAGGGCAGCAGGCAGGGCCATGGGGTTCCCAGGCTGTCACTCCACAGTGTCCAGGGCACAAGGAAAAGGCAGGTACCTCATGGCCTTACCCAATATCTCAAAAGGGTCTTCCTTCCCAAAATCAGGGGTGAGGTAGGGGCTGGGGGGTGGTTTTGCCTCTGTTAAAGATGGTTGCACTCCAGGTTGCTCCACCATCCCAGCAGGATCTGGGGGCTGCCCTGTGGCACTGGGCAATGTCCTCTCCTGAGGGGTGCTGGCAGGTTCCAGGGGCTGCAGGTTCTCCAGGGCTGGTGGGCCAGAGCCAAGCTCTGTCAGACCCTCTTTTGGCTCCACCATCGTGGTCTCCTCTTCTATTGTCTCCATCTCTGCCACCTCTGCCCAGGGCTGCTCCTCCCTGGAAGCAGGAGTGGGAGGTGAGCAGAGCCCACAGCAGCTCCCGAGCCCAGCACCCAGAGACCCAGGGCTCCCTGGAGCAGCAAGGGGGATCCCCCCATCCCAGGAGGGTGTGGGTACCTGTGGCAGGCAGCCGGGCAGCTCAGGCTCTGCAGCAGAGCCGGGCGCGGGGGCTCGGGGATCTTTGGTGCCTGTCCCTCTGTCCCCTTGGACACTTCCTCCCCTTCACCCTTAGCCTTCACAACAGCCATGGCTGCTGCCTCTGTGGGCTCCACAGCCCCATCCCCAGCCTCTGCTCCAGGTGTGGGAGGCTCCACCTCTGCAGCTTTCTTCCCTCCATCCTGAGCCTTTGCAGTAGCTGGGATCTTCTCCTTTTTAGGCTCTTTCCCTTCATCCCCAGCCTTTGATTCAACCGTGGATTTTTCCACCTTTGCAGTTTTCTTCCCTCCATCCTGCACCTTCACAGCTGCTGGGGACTTCTCCTTTGCAGGCTCTATTTTGTCTCCGCCCTGAGCCATTTTTTCAGCTGGTGTTTTCTCTGCCTTTGCTTCTGCCTTCTCTATATCCTGAGCCTTAGCAGCATCTGGGGCTTTCTCCTTTGCAGGAGTTATGGCTTTCTCCTTCACTGAAGCTGTGGTTTTCTCCTTCACTGAAGCCGCAGCCTTCTCCTTCACGGGCTCCTCTTTGCCTCCATCCAGAGCCTTTTTAACTGCTGGGGCTTTTTCTGCCTTTACCACTTCATTCTTGCCACTCTGAGCCTTTGCAGCATCTGGGGTCTTCTCCTTTGCAGCATTTGGGACCTTCTCCTTTGCAGCACTTGGGACCTTCTCCTTTGCAGCATTTGGGACCTTCTCCTTTGCAGCATTTGGGACCTTCTCCTTTGCAGCATTTGGGACCTTCTCCTTTGCTGCAGCTGTGGTTTTCTCCTTTGCTGGCTTGGTAGCAGCTGGGGCTTGCTGTTCCTTTGCATCTTGCTTCCCTTCATCTGGAGCTTTAGCAGTGGCTGGAACCTCCTGTTTTGCAACCACTGTGATTTTCTCCTTTGCCGGCTCTCCTTTGCCTCCATCCTGAGGCTGAGCTGCAGCCAAAGCTGTCTCCTCCATAGGTTTTGCCTTCCCTCCTTCAGAGTTTGCTGCAGCCAGAGCCTTCTCCTCAGTGGACTCTGCTTTTCCACCACTCTCAGCCCCCGACCCACCAGGTGCTTCCTCCTTCTTGGGCTTGTCCTTTCCTCCATCCTGTGCTTCAGTTACAGGCAGGCACTTCCTCTCCATGGTCTCATCCTTCCCTCCATCCTTAGCCTTTGCAGCAACTGAAGCCTTTCCTCCTTTGAGCTCTCCTGTAGCTGGAGCTTCCTTCTTCTCAGGCTTGTCTTTCCTATCCTTCCCTACACCCTGGGCCTCGGTGGCAGCCTGCACCTTCTCTCTGATGGACGCTGCCTGCCCTTCATCAGATGCTGCCTGTCCTCCATCATGCTGCACAGCCTCTCCTGGAACTGCTTCCCGTCCATCCTGGGGCTCTGGAGCAGCCAGAGCTGTCTCCTGCTCCAGCTCTGTCTTCCCTCCTCCAGGCTCATCTGTGCCTCCATCCCGTGCCACGGTGGCGGCTGCCGCTGTCGCTGTTTCGGGCTGGGCAGCCTGGGGAGCTGCAGGAGCTGCGCTGCCCTGGGCCTGGGGGTGTCCCGTGTCCCCGGTGTCGGCAGCACCCGCGCCTCCAGCCCGCTCCATGGGACACTGCCCTGCGGTGCTGCCGGTCCGGCGGGGCTCCTGCGGGAGAGAAAGCAGCAGCTGAGGACTCGCCGGACCCGACGCCCTACAGAGGGGACGGCAGGACTCGGGCAGTGGCTCTGCTCCTGCAGGGATGAGCTGCTGCCATCCAGCAGGGAACTGTGCCCCCGCCGCCCAACCGGCAGCTCCCGGGCTGGTGGCACCGGGCCAGGGTCCCCACGTGGCCACCGGTCCCATTGTGCCCCGATATCTGCCCCACGGTGACTGATCGATGGCCTGACCCCGGCACCTGTCACCGGGTGCCTGGGGCCTCCGACGTGCGAACAGCCAGCGCGGCGCGGCCAGGGTGACAATTTAAGGCCACGTCCCACCGTGGCAGGGCAGCAGCCAGCGGCTCCGGCCCCGGGCTGGCAGTGGCGATCAGGAGAGGTGAGCATTCCCGGCACGGCCCCAGCGTTGCTCCCCCTGAACCACAGAGGAGGTCCAGCCATGCGGGGATATCCTGTCTGCTCGGGGGCCGCACAGACCCCAGCGGCTGCCAGCACTGCTCATCCCCCTGTCCAGGGGTAACCAGCTCTGCCAAGGGGACCTGTTGGTGCTCAGCACCTGATCCTCAAATCCCCATTCTGCCCTGGGCTCTACTCCTTCCTGTGCCCAGTCATCTTTCCTCATCCTGTCCCAAAACACCCCCCTGTGCAGCCATCCAGAGCCCAGGATAGCCCAGCCCCAGAATAAACCCAGCAGCAACCATCCCAGTAACAGCAAAGTTGTTTGCTGGTCTACTGGACCGGGAGGTGTAGCAGAGCAGTCCCTGGGAGAGCGTTCCCACATCCCACAGCTCAGCACAGGAAGCCCACGGGGATGGAGGTGTTCTTCCCAAGGCTGGGGGCTCCGCTATCCACAGGACCCCCCACCTCCATGGCCCAAGTCAGAAGCCACAGGGCCCCCCTCGGTGCCGTTACCTGGGTGCTGGTGCAGTGGGTGGTCAGGGAGGCAGCATCCGCACTGTGGCAGCACCGGAGGGAGCAGCCTCTTCTATCCCGGGTGTAACGGAGCCGGATTAGTGCAGGCAGAGGAGGATCCTTTACAGCAGCGGGAGCCGGCCCACTTCGCCTTTCCCAGCACCTGTTACTGCTGGAGCCCGTTCAAAGGACACGCCACTCTCGCCTGTCCCCCGTGGGCTGGGGACACGCACACAAGGGGCAGGGGACAGGGACGGACTTGCCTCCTGCTCTGGCACAGCACCACAGGGAGGGCTGGCACTGGACACAGTGGCACCCCAAAACCGTCCCATGGGGGTGGCCTGGGTGAGCTGGACAGGGTCCAGGTAGCTAAGGCCCTCCAAGGTGCTCACAGGTGACACGAGGTGGCCACTGGCCAGCCCATGGGGGTGGTAGCCAGGAGCAGCTGGTGATGGTGCTGGTCCCTGTGCTGCTGAGCTCTGCCCAGTGGCACTGGCCCTTTGGGAGAGTGACTCCAAAGGACCCTGTGCTCTGTGGGTATGATGTGGCACCTCTGGACACTGCCACTGGACCTTGATGAAAGTGACAGAAGCTGGGAAGTCTGCACTGGCCAGCAGCTACAGCCTTCCTTAGGAACAAGTTGAAAGACTTATTTTCTGTAAAATCAAGTGTTTTGGGAATCAGGGAAAAAAAGAGAGGAGCTGTGAGCTCCAGGGGGTTGGGCTGTGTGTATGGGTGCTGCACAGGCATTGTCAGCTCGTTCTGGGGTGCTGCACCCCAGGACACACCTCAGGCACTGCGTGGGGAATCCTGGCGTTTGCTGGAGGAGTGGGGCTCTCCCCAGGCCAGGTGCCTGAGGTTACTCTGGGCTCCTCCAGTCTCAGCCCCTGACAGCTGCCAGCCTCATCCCACCTCCCAGCTCCCCACCCCACAGCCATAGAAAACTTAGGTCCTGCCAAACACCAAACCCAGCTGCTTAAACCTTGATTTCCTTTCTCCTTAGTTTAAACATTACCTGTGGCAGAGCTGGAGTCTACAGCAGCAAAGGAGGTGGGGAGGCTGGCCAGTGCCACCCACAGTGGAGCTGAGTCAATGCCACCAACAAGCAGCAGCAGCAGCCCCTCAAGAGCAGGGCTCACTTTGCCTGCAGCACCTCTCAGAATGACCAACACTGCTCAGGCAGTGCTGCTGCTCCACACTAACAAATCCCAGCTCCCAGCGAGCTGAGCCCATGGCCTGGGGTCAGACTTTGCCAGTGATTCACATGTGGCATTTAAATCGAGACAAGCCAGGATGGGAGCACAGCTGGTCCTCTATCCTTGAGGTGCTGCTGTCCCACCTGTCCCTACCCTGGCCTGAGGCATCCACATCAACACCTCAGTGCAAGAGCAACACTTGCTCAGTGGGACACAGCCTGAGCAGGTGTGGAGCTCTCCCACTCCATCCTTCACCGCTGGGATTTATGGCTTCAGCAAGGCCAGCTCCTTTCCTGAGATCCAGCAGGACCTGGAATGTGATGAGGACCAGCAGGGATAATGCAGGAGCAGGCACACAGCTCCAGCTCACTGATGTGCTGATGCAGTTGTGTACAAGCAGAGGTTGGAGCATCACCAGCAGCCACAGTTCTTGGTGACAATGACACACATGCTGCCCAGTCCTGACACAGCCACCACTCCCATGATGAGTGGGAGTCCCCCACCTTGGCCTCTGTAGGGCCACAGTCAGGAATAACTGGCCAGATGCTGTGCCTGGCCAGCGGGGACTCTGCCCATCGACTGTCATCGCCAACATACAGTTTGGAATTGCCTCTCTCCTCCTCCAGCCTGGCTCCTCAGCTGCCAGGCACCTTGAGGCCACCAGTGTCACTTCAGGCACACACTGCCACCACTCCGCCACCCTTGGGCTCTGCACCCTCCTGGCAAACTCCAGGTGGAAGGAGCACAACCACGCACAGGCATGAAGCAGGAGCCCCTGAGCCAGAGCCATGCCCCACAGCCCCCTTGGAGCTCTTGGTGTGGTGGACACTGGGATAAAATTCTCCAAGGAGAGCAGGAGCAAGCACCTGGACACCAGCCAGCCTTCCAGGGATGCCTGCAATCTTCCACGCTCCCTGAGAGCAAGGTCAGTCTGGGCACAAACCCCAGGGACAAGATGAGGAAGCAAAGCCCTGGGGAGCCATGGTTCTTCAAAGCCAACGGGTGACCATGCTTTGGCATTATCACAGATAAAATTGATTTGTGGGCAGAGAGAAATAAGCTGAAGTCAGACCTTTGGGAAGAAGGAATTGTAGAATTGAAGGGCTATTATCTGTTGCACCCCAGGATTTCAGATGCCTTGGTCCAAAACCAGATGCCCAAGGAGCAGCACAGTGCTCTGGGGCTCTGCAAACCAGCCACCATCCAGGCTTCTCAGCCTGGGTTTGGGGTTTTTTTTCTCCCTTCCCATTCAGGAACTTAAGCCAGAGCCTACATTGGCTGCAGCTGGGAAACAGCCTGTCCTGGGGCTATCTGGCAGTGCCTCAAGCACGCTGTTCCCTGGCGACGCCGTTGTCACAACTGCGGCAGCACACTTTAACCTTTACGTTTACCCTGGGAAGGGAGGCTCTGCGGGGCCAAAGCCGGCCCATTCCAGGGAAACCCTACACCCCAGCTAAATTGAGCGGCAGGGCAGGCAGAACAACATCCCCACCTGAATCCCAGCCATGCTGAAACACAAACCAGCCAGGCTGTCTGGCTTAACTGCTTCCATCAGAACCAGGGCTTCCACCACGAGCTGCCATCCTGTCGAGACAGGTGTCAGCAAGGTGATGGGGAAAGACAAGGAAAAATCCCAACATCAACAAAAGAGCACCCAGAGTGATTGCCACCAGCAGCAGCATCTGGGAGCACCAGGACTTGCCCAGGTCCAGGAGTTCTTGCCAGGTTCAGGCCAGGTCACACAAGCAGTTGTAAAGGTTTCCCAATGGAGAGAGAAAGGAGAAGCAAAGCCGTGGTTTGAGAGCATCATCAAGCCTTTCCATAATTTATTCACCAGATAATTTGATCTTGAAATTCAGCATGAAAGTCCAGGAAAACATTGGCTGCCTTTAAGTTTCAGCTCTATTCTGTGTTCAGCAAATTATTTTGATAATGAATTGAGTACAGTTCAACTAGAAAGGGAGCAGAGGAAGATTTTGTACCTAGATCTCTCCTAAAATCCTCCCCCTCATTGCTCTCAAGGCATGCACATAAAGGTGATGGATCAGCTTTGAGTACTGTAATACAAAAATGTTTTTGAAAAATCAATAGGGAGACTATAGATTTTACATCAGTTTCTCAACCTGCTCTGACTCTAAAGGGAGGTATTGAAACAGCACTTAGTTAAATCCCAGTCTCTTGCTCTCATCCTGTAAATTTGTTCTCCCTGGCACGGGAAAAATCACCTACCACCATTTCCCTCCTGAAGCCTTGGTCAAATCCCATCCCTTCCAACATCCAGCTCCTTCAGGACATGATTTTTATACTTTGCACACTAGTTTTCCCACTATGTCACCACTTCCCTCCTAATTAAGAGAACAGGTCCCACATCCCAGCCCGTGAGAACCTGGTGGGTGACTCCAAGTTCGTACAAACACCCCAGACCCTTAGAGGCACAGCTGCCTGAGGCTCCTGCCCCTGTTTGCAGTGCATGGGGAATACAAGAGGCCATGTTTGGGGGAAGTTGTAATATCTTTTATTAGACCCAAATGATACCATTGGGGAAAAAATACTGCCAAGCTGTCAGGCACACAACCCCTTCCTCAAGGAAGAAGAGGCCATGTAGGGCCATCAGGGAAATCCAGCTGCTTCATCCGTCAGGGATTGGTGGCTGCTCCAGTTCCATGGCCTCATGATCCTGCTTGCCTTCACATTCTTCAGCAGCTCATCATCATTCCAGCTTCCCCCTGACTCATCATAAATATTTGCAGCTCCTGCTGCCCACACGCTGCCTTTTCCAGAGCTGGCACTCGAGGAAAAAGCAAGGGCTCCCCGACAGCACATCTGAGGTTCTGTGATGTCCCCATCCAGCAGCAGAGCACAGGGAACAGTTCCACCAAGACAGAAATGGGGTTAAGGGAGACAGGTCAGATCCCCACAGATTTTTGCTTTCAAGAAGAGGATGCTGACATATCCCTTGTGCCCCAGACACTACCTCAAATTGTCACAGCAGCAGTGACAGCAGTTTTTCTGTCTGTCTTGTAACTCTTAGCTCAGTGACACAGGGCTATCAGCAAAGTCAAAAAAATGTGGCTGAAGGCAGATTGGGTGATTAAATCAAGCTTTCAGGCCAACCTCTGCTACAGCTATATAGAGATCCTCAGGAGAAGGGAAGAAAAAGCTGAAACCTGAGCAAAATGGAGCCATATCTGAGCTCACCATTTCTAAGAACCCACACTGCCACAGGGTCATTCATCCTTTAATTTTTAAAAGAATCCTTGTATTTCAGTGTGGGCGGCTTTTCTCCTCTTAATCCCAGCACTGAAGTTTGAGGCTGGTGCACTTTGAAACACTCTTGTAGAGACCACAACTGTTCCACAATGATATCTCTTGAGCATCACACGTTTTAGGATAATTCCTGCAGAAACATCATCCCTCAGGTACAATAAATGTTCATCTTGGAATTTAGGTCTCTAAGGACTTTCTTCCACTGTTACCTCTCTCAGTCTAGGAGTAGAAAATAGCAATTGTTTGGTGTGTTTTGGCAAGAATGGGACAGCACCTTTAACCACCCCCTTTGCTGGACTCTAACACCAAGTTTGAACTCTTTTTCACCCAAAAATCTGAATAAAAAGCTGCACACTCTGGGAATACTTCAACAGAATCTTAATTCAGATGAAATAATAAACAGTATTTGCTATAACCACCAAACAAGAAAGTTTGTCCAGTCAGGACAAATTAATTCTCAATTTCACCTTTCCCCCCCACCTCTTCTAAGCAGCACAACAGTAGCAAGCAGCCCCACTCACAGGTTATCAGCAAAACAAAGGTAAGAAATCACAGCACAATATTAAGTAAGAAATAATAATTAAAACTTTAATCTAGATCCACTCTTCACAATACCAGCAGTTTTGTCCTCCAGGACATTTGAGCACTTGGGCTATATTCATCTCTGCTCACTGCCCAAACTGGCCAGAGAGGCTGATGGCTCTGTGGCCAAGAGACCTGTACTGGCAGGAGCTGGGGCAGCAGCTCACAGCAAGTCAATTGCCAGATAAATGGTTCCCCAAATAGAAGCACTTCAGCTATAAAACAGCAAGATGGTTTAATGCTCTAATATACACAAAGAACTACTTTTAAGAATGGACAAGATTTATATCTGTGGTCATCTAAACATTAACAAGGAAGGCCAGACCCACACTACAGCGGCTTGAAGGAACCCCACTTAACACAATTCAAGCTAAATGAAGACTACAGGCTGAAAAATAGACAGTTGAAAATATCACTTAGTGTACAAACACAAAACAGCTCTGCCAGATGCACACATCTGCATGGTCAGTCTTTACCAAAAACTCTTCTGCAGGAAAGGGCTTCACTAGCCAGAGACAGCAAGCAGATTAGGAATTTTTATTTAGTTAGGTACACAATATGTATATCAAAACACTATCAATATGCAATATCAAAACTTGGTTTAGTCTCTAGAGAAGACAGGGTCTGGATACACAGTGAGGCCAGGAGGCACTGCTGAAATGCCATGGGCTCAGGTGGAGTTTAACTACTCCGTACAACAATGGAACCAAGCACAGGAGTTCAGACTGAGCAGTCTTGGAAAAACAACTGCTCCCTCTCTCCTACCAAGGGAGTGGAGAAGGATGAGATCTCCCTTCAGTTATCACGTGGATGCTCATCAGCATCGGAATCTGTCTGAGAAGTTGGGAGACTTTGGCATAGTCAGTGGTTGATCACTGGGTTTCACTTCTACACTGCGGTATTTGCGTATTGGGTTTGCCTTGTGAACCTGTGAAAAAATAAATATAAGAATGGGCAAAACAAAACAAATGGTTGCAGTTATGATGAATTTTTCAGGTGAGCTGTGGTTGAGGTGAAGGCAGGTATCTGCCTGAAACCACCACACCACCCTGGGCACTGGAGTGAGGTAGTGAGAAAACACACAGCACATGCTGGGGTTGTGGGTTTTACTTAGATGATTCTGCTTTGATAACTACACATGTGCAGCTCCAAAACTCAGCCATCTCAGCACAGCTGCCTTCTTTGTTTGCACAGTTTTGTAGGTTCAGGTTTTTTAAACCAGTTGTGAAGTTAGTGAGTCATCAATTTGCAAAAGGGAACCTTGAAAAGGCAGTTTTAGCACAGCTCAACTGTGACATTAGCTCCGTAAAGATGTTCCCACATTCCTTTGGGTTACTTTACAGCCTTTGCTCAGAAACAGCTCACTTACCATTTCTTGTCTCAGCTTAGCAACTTCTTCCTTTTCACGCTCCTCTTGTTGCTGCCTGATCTGCTCCTCATACCTCTCCTTTAAGGCTTCTGCATCTGCCAATCGCTTTTCAAATTCTTGCCGTTCTTTTGCTCTTCTTTCTGTTGCCAGCTCAAAGCTTTCAGGAACTACAGAACCAGAAAGGCTCTCTAAGTTTAGAAATAGAGGAGATAACATTGGTTCAAAGACCATCAGGTAAAGCAGAGCAGTACTAATGCCAATGGAAGACTCCCTTTGGAGAGCTTCCCCTTGGCAAGGGTGGTTAGTAGATACCTCCAGGCTTCAGGAAAAGAGAAAACTTTACTCCCAGACGTAAGCAGTGTTAATGCAGACGTCACCCCATCATGGGTGTTCTCATGGGAGGGAGCAAGCACACAATTGTTAGTACAAACAAGATTTTGGCTGGTTTTATGCTCTACAAATCTCAGCCTACCCAAGCAGTAGATGCCTTCAACTCATTAGAAACAGGAGGGAAAGAGTGACAGCGCTGCAGAAATGCCAGCTGTCTCTGCAGGGAGCTCCTCACATTCTCAGTACCCTTATCCTGAGCTGGCACACATCAATCATCTGCCAATTGCAGCAGAGCTGCTAAATACAGCTGCCATGCTGGAGCAAGACAGAGGGGTGGAGAGGAAATCCCCCTGCTCCCAGGGGATACAAGCTGTTAGGCAATTAGTTGATTAAATGCAAGGCACTATTGGCTGTGTTGATGAAGAAGAGGCAACAGCCAGAAAAGACATCACTTAATTGCATCAGTTCTGAGCTATCAGCCAAGCCCATGTAAAAAGTGCTTGCAACTCTACCTGAGAGCATCTTATGTTCCTTTTTGGGCACAAAAGGCTCCTGGTACATCACTGTGTTGGGTCGAGCCTTAAAGCATGCTGCCTCTTTTTGCCTTTGCAAGTCTTCTTTAAGCTGCAAGAGAAGAGAGCATGTCAAGTGCCAGGCAGAAAGAGACTGTCTCCCTGTGACCCAGACTCTGGCACTCCCTACACTGGAAAAGCCATGCTGATTTAGTCAAACAATTTCCACATAATATTATATTAAAGCCAAAAAGTGGTGTCACTTCTTGCCTGACAGTTGCTTTGCCAATAATAGCCTGAAGAAAGTTTCAGGTGCCCACTGCAGACTTCACATGAGAAAAGCAGTATATTATTTATGTGTCAATAAACTCCTGGAGGTAGTCAGCAAATGGATTCAGCTGCACAGAGCTACTGCTTAGAAAACACCCCACAGCTGTTCATACAGTTGTGGTGAATGCCATAATTTACTATGAAGTGAGAAAAATAAAAGCAAACCATTGACCAATCCTTAACCCATAGCACAAGTCTCATGCCAAGTACTGAAAAATTCCTTGCTCCAACCCAGCTACTGATTCAATTCAAGGGGGACAGTTTCTGTAGTCAACCACAACTCCACCAGCTGCTTTAAGTCTGGTCATTCCCAGTATACTTTTCATTCTACCTGCTGTTTCCAGCTCTGGAGCTTGGCAGCTCCCCGTTCATCCACCTGCAGATGGAATGGTTCAGGCTGAGTTGGGGTTTTGACCTTCTTTTCTGGCAGTTTAACTTGGTCAAAGTAAGGCAGAGGCAACGCTTTGAACTTTGGCACCTGAAATAAACAACTCAAAATATTTCTTGTCCTTTCCTTGGAAGTTTACTGGACAACAGCAAATCCTGTCACACTCTTTTTACTGAAAAGAGTGGATTCCAAGGTAGCTTTTCACTCTTACCTCTTCCTTCTGTAGTTCTTCTATTTTTTTCTCTTTTTGTATTTGTCGCTCTCTGTCCCGGGCATCGAAAGAGAAGGGGCAAACTTCCACATGCCTCTGCTCTGGCATTTTGGGTTTGAAGGGCACTCCATAATGTGGCATAGGATTAGCTTTGATCACAGCTGCCTCCTCTTTTTCCTAAAGGGATATTAGCTTTAGCATCTGATTTTTTTATTTTTGTACAGACTGCAACTGCCAAGCAAAGCCACAAAGAGCTTTGAATGAGCTCCTTTAATAAGGGACACAACAGGGTCACGCTAACAGAGGACACTGCAAAAATTAGGAATCCAAGAAGTACCAATTTACTAGCATCCTGAACCACAGGCCCAATTCTTCCTTTTTTGAAGCCACTCTCAATTCTCATCCAAATTAGACTAATTATTTAATATCCTCTTGACAAGAAGGAAAGGAAGAAGGATGCGAAGCTTTCAGAATCCTGCTCCCCACCTCAGGGAGAAGAAAGGTCATGTGTAATATCTGCCTTCAGTGACAGAATAGGGAAGGATGATAAATGTAAGCAGTTCTCTTTCTTCATTCATAGCAGCGACACCTCAGAAACCCTCATCAGTGCCCTAGCATTTAAATTATTCATTTTTAATGAGAATTCAGTTTCTGTAAAATGACTGGCAATAACCAGATTGTTTGAAGCGAATGGCACAGGCAAAGGTAACCAGTGGAGGAACTGCTCACAGGAATGAAGGAAGGGGCTTCCAGCCTCAGAGCATCCCACCCACATCCAGAGGCACGGCAGGCACTGCAGTGAGACCTGGGCCTGGCTCCAGCCTCATCACAACTATTACCTTTCTTTCATCTCTGCCAGATACACGGGTCCTGCTTCTCAAGGTAAAGGCTGGAGACTTGGGGACTGTAACAGGAAGTATTTTCTTCTCTGGAACACCCTGTTCAGAAGAGCCAGTAAGGAGTTACCCAAGGCCAAGTGCCAAGGAAATGCCTCAGAGAAACAACCTGACAAGCACAGGACACACCTGCTGCGGTTCTTACCTAATGACAGACACTGTTTACTAAGATCATCAAACACATAATTCAACATGGCTACAGAAAATTTGAAGCTTATTGCCACCTGAGGTCCAATTCCTAAGGCTGAGTGTTATTAAACTTCTCACCACAACATCCTCCAGGATTTTTGTGGGACATGGCCTGGAATGGAATTCGAAGTGCTCTTCTTCCTGCTGCTTCTTACTCTCACGCTCCTGAATCCTTTTTTCTATTTCCAACTGAAAGCCGATGGGTTGGGTGAGTTCCTTCACAGAGGGTTTCTTGGGCAGGAGGGGACCACCCTCAAAGATTTTGGGATTGACTTCTCGTGCTTTGAATTTGTACCTATGCAGGAACAATGGAAACAATCACATTTGTGTACATTGTACATTAGTGTGCAGCTCTAGCTAGCAATTCTTCCTCTGCCTTCAAAACAGCAAGATTAATAAGAAAAATCTTATAGATTGTTTTTCTAGAAATCCAAACCTTTGCCTAGAGGCGAGTTTTGAAGTGCATGCAGGCTGCATTGCTATATTGGGTTTGCTTTACTCATCACAAGCTGTACTCAACCCAATATGAGCTATCCTAAGAGCACTTTCTCCAGAATGAATTGTTTATATTTCACTTCCCTACAATCAGAACTAAAGAATTATGAACAAACTAAAGCAATCTCAGTCGTGCATGCTACTCATTCTTTTACACAAAAAGGGTATTTCAGAAACGTGCCATTTTGGAATCTGAAAAATATTTCCAGTCTCGTACAATCATCCCCTGGAGGATTAGAGTAAGCCTTTACTTACTGTTGAATTTTCTCTATTTCCTCTGCTTCTAAATCTGCAGCAGTTTTGCAGGTGACAGGTCTCAAGCGCTGCTTTGTTCGCAGCACTGGAGTTTTGGGGTGTGTGAGCTGAGCCTTCACCGGCTTTTTTGAAACTGAGCCTACAAATTCAAGTCACAGAGATCAGCAGTTAATGGCAAGGCCTACAACAGACACATGCCATTTGTTCAGAGTAGTCAAAGCATCTCTTGCTCTACCAACCACGTCTGTGGACATAGCCAGAACCACTCACCTTCCTCAGATTTCCTGCTCCTCAAATGGTAACGAGGGGGTGTGCGTTTTTGGAATGCTTCTACCTGCTCAGCAAAGGACACATATTCTGTTGTGGCTTCTTCAAGTTTTCTTTTTTTTCCCTGGGACAGATTGAAAGGTTTGGGAACAGTGGGTCCCTTTGGCACTCGCACCTGGAGACAGAAAACCAGACTCAGAATGGCCAGGAGGCTTCGATGACATTTCCTTTCCCCACTGACGCACAATATCTGTCCCTTCCTCTCACTGAAAAGAAGGTAACACCTCACATTAAGCACAAGTGTTCACAGTCTGAACATGCACAAGTTATATTGGGAAACTGTATCGAGCACATTAAAGCACAAAGTGGAATGACTGGAAGATCTGACATTAAAGGGCTCCTTTTTCCACAAGGTTTCTTTTGAGTCTTGTGGCAACACAGACACACAGGAAGTTTGCAGTCACATTTGCACAACACCTGCTTCTCCTGTGGTAACCTCTCTGTGGGTATCAGCCCAAGCATTGCAAAACCAGAAGGGAGGTGATGGTAAGAATCAGCAAGCTGAGTGCTGGCAACACTCTGGCTCTCACCGGAGAAGGGGGATGCTTCCTCAGTACTGCTGCAAAATCCAGTTCCTTGTATTCATTCCCAGGCTGGCTTTCCACATTCTGTTTAATTCTAGTCTCCGTGCAGAAATGGAAATCAATTGGCTTTGTTACTTGACCAACAGGTCTCTTCATGGGTTGTCCTAGAGGAAAAAAATATGTAAGGACTGGAAGCCTTTTGCTGTGGGGTAGGATTTGCAGAAAAAAAAAAAAAACAAAACCATTAAATTTCTAACATCCAGGTAAGCTTTTAGAGAACTCATCTTTAACTTTTCAAAACATAACCAAACATACCTGTTTCCAGGCAGTTTAGGGGCTAATCTACATTAAACGGCTCCTAATATTTATTTCAAAGTCTGGAATGCTTGTTTTCAAAGGTACTTGCACAGCTCTGTGCAGCACTCTCCAGCTGAACGCAATGCAGCTTCATTTGGCAATTCAGGCAGAGCCCACCTGCTCCAGCAATAGCTGCTTTCAGAGACTCCTCGTTCTTTTTCCGCAGCTCCATAACCTCCTGCTGCAACTGCTGCATCTTTTCCAGCTCCTGCTCCTCTGTACTCTTCAGCTTGCCAGGTTTGGTCCTCCTGCAGAAGCACATTAAAAACTAAGACATGCCTTCCTGCTTCCCTGGTTATTACCTACCATGATGTTAGTGCAAGGAACATGCTTATCTGCACACCCTCACTGCAGAACCATCGTCAGCTACAAAACCATGCTCTTAGAAGATTTTGTTTGTTCAAATAATCTCACAGCTAACTGCTATCATGCAGACCCACTTGCTGTGTGCATTCTTGATCCATTAGGAAGAATAACTTTTTTCTCAAAAGAAAAGCAGAAGTTTTCCTGTGCACAGGTTCAGCTGTTGAAGTACATTTTATCCTAATATTGTTGCCTTGATCCAGTGTTTACTAAATGTGATACCATCACATGCTAAGTTGAAGCTGAAAACACTCAGCCAGGACTGTCACCTAAATCAACTGTGATTAGCACACAAGTCACAAGAAAGCCACGTACTTCAACATTGTTGGCGTGGAGGGCATGGTCAGTTTGCTTTTCCCTCTCTCTGGGGAGAGGCCAGGATCCTGCAGGGGCTCTGTCTCTGTGGATTCTTCTGTCACCTTCTCTCTGCTACCAGAACTAAGAGAAAAAGTTATTAGGACAAACCCCTTAATTAACTGTGCCCTAAAGAAATGATCACCTGCAGGTCTCACCACTATGCATAACATCCCAACACCTGGTCCTGGTGAGGTCTAGGGTATGCCATGCTGGCCTTACCTCATCCCAGGCCCAGGTATAGACCATGCAGCTTTCCCCAGTAGTCTAAGGCTGCAGAAGGGAATATGAATTACTGAGTTTTTGGAACTTCTCTGGAGAAGGGAGGTACACTGTAGATCATCGAGGTATAATGGTATTTCAAAGATCACACTTCAATTTCCTGACCTCAAGCTTATCACCATATGATACTTTAGTGGTTAAGTTAATTTGAGAAATATTTTAGCTGTGATTATTTCATAGCTAATGACTGCCTGATGACTTCTGGATGGATAAGCTCAGACAAATTTAAAACTGACAGACACTGAGTAAGAAGGTGAAGAAGCCCATGCTTATTTCATTCACATCTCTACCTCCAAACAGAGCAATTCCTTCAGCATTTACAGCCATTTCTTGTTCATGAAACCAGTATCAGCAACCAGTTCCAGCCACCACCCCCTAACTTTCCTGTAAGAATGTTCTCAGCCAGGTGGAAGCCAGGCTTTTCCCAGCCCTAAACAGAAGGACTTGGATGACATACATTCTCATTTTCTTCAAGGGTGGAACATCTTCCTTATTATCCGGGGCATTAGCAATTCTCTCTCCTTTGACTCTGCCTGGCTGCTTGCACTGCTGGGTTTTCCCCTGCTTTGTAGCCGGTCTCCTGCCCGGTCTAGAGTAGGACAGAAAGCAGAGGTCAGTTTTCCCACAGATCTGAGGAGACACATGCCCTGGATAACACTTTTTGTGTCAGTGAATCCCCTAACTCCACCACAAAAATTGTGTTTAACACAACAATCTAGATGTAGCACGATTTAAAGTTTAACAATCCATAAGCTAAATACTCTTTGCTATATATGAGCATGCAGAGCCCCTTGCATTCATATCAAGAATGAGTTCTGCAGATATAAACAAAGAAACTTTATAAGCCATCTCAGTTTCAGATATCCTCACATTCCAGAAGCTCCTGGTGCTGTCGAGTCTCATTTGACAAGTATGTGAGACACTGCATTACATTTCCACCCTAGAGACTGCCCCTCCAGCTTAGACAGCAGATCAGATGTCCCAATACACGATCTCCATGTTGGAGAACTCCAGCCCCACAGGATGCCCCAAGAACAGCTAGAACTGCAGATCCTGAGACCAAGGACCTGCTTAGTTACACTATCATCAATCATTGCACAGACTGAACACAAATATTTCACCTCTGAGGGGCCTCTGCAGGGGCAGCAGCTCTCCAGGTTGCCAGGGACCCAACAATATTCTGAGGGACCGCGTTGCCCTGGGCACATTCTGCTTCACCATCTCTTTCACCTGAGAAAGGGGCAAGTGTCAGCTCATCTATATATACACATACAGCACAACTACAAGTAAAACCACATGAGACTTCACAGATAAGAGTTTATGAAGATGGCCCCACGAAAGCCAGACAGAGGCCTGTCCATTTTGTCAGTGAAAAGCAGGTAAAATTTATTCCCTCCCTGCCACACCATGCCAGCTTACTCATTGCTACTTCTTGTGATGGGACAGAAGAGAGAATAACATCAGGCTTTGAAAAAGCAGAGTTGCAGTGTGAGACCTTGTCCAGATTTTCTGCAGGAGGGATGTTCTCCAGATTGGCCTTTTGGTCTGTAAGGAGAGAAAGACTTTTACTGCACACAGTGTTAGGAATTGCTAACAATACCCCAGAATATCATTATGAGACTAACAAAGTCAAGTTACAGATGATAAAATTTAAATACAAAAAAACAGAACGAAAGAAACTCTATCCATGATGAATGATGCAGTTAACATCATGATTAATTGGCACAGAAACCAGACTCAAAACAAGGATCACATCAAGGTGTCATCCAATGAGGAAACAACTCAAGGAGTTGGAAGCAACTTACCAAACCAGGAGTCTGCATTGTGTACATCATCCTCATTCAGAGTTGCAAAATCGATGCAGATGTTTGGGACATCAAAAGAATAACGGGAATCTGGCTTAGACATCTTCACAGCCACACTGTCCCCACGAGCCCTCTGTCTCCACTGCTACAGCCCTTTAGAAAACAACAGGATATCAGTGGCATCATCCCCAACCTCTCCTCCTCTGCAGAGTTTCTAGGGACAGACATTGGGACAGACTTTGGTACATCCCTGCTTCTTGCACTTCACACCTTTGGGCAGAACTCCACATGAGCAATGCAGAGTTTTATTCTACTGCTGATCTGCAAAGCTAAGGAGATTTCACCACTATTGACATTTGCATGTTCAAACTATCAGAAAGATCAAGTTTTGACAGGATTTTTTTTCTACCTCTAGGTGCTAGAATTGTATTTTTTAAGAAGTATAAAGCTTTTCCAGTGACAAACTGATTTGCACTTCCTTCCCTCACCATACACAAAGAAGAGTTCTTACCCTTACAGGACTTACAAAACTGATGAGATTCACTCCAGAGCACTGCAATGCACAGCCTCTCTCCCTGAAGGGCTACAAACAAGAACTAATGACACAAAGGTGCTCTTCTAATAGATTTTCAAAGCAGGAAGAGGGCTCTGCAGAACACTGTTACTGGGCAAACAGTCAGAAGGAGGGCAGTGTCAGGCACTCTTGCATTCTTTAGCACTAGCCCGAAGCTGGCCAGGCTATAAACAAACTGAGCACTGTGACCCGTGTCAAACAGTCCCTGCAGCTAATTAATGAAGCACTGACAGCAAGAGGAGTCCCTGTGTCAACAGGTGATATTAAACTCAACGGAACAGGAATAAAGCCAGTGACAAAGTTATAAACCCTGAAATTAAGACAAAACCTTCTTGCAAAGGTGTTTTTGTGATGCCTTGAACAGCTGTGAGGCAAAGGCCACAAGGATGTTATAAAACACCCCCCAAGGAAATCACCTGAACTTTGCTTTTATGAACCCAAGAAATTCCAAAGCAGCATATTCCTAACCCATAGAGCCTCAGCCCTAAACCATCTGTCTAGGCAGACCACACATGGTTCAAAACCCAGATGGTGTAACTCAATAAATAAGAAAATGGTCAAGAGTAAAGCAAAGCAGTGTTTAGGGGGTACCACACTGGTCACAACCACTGGGCCCCGAGGATGGGTGCACTGAGAAGCCTTCAGCTCCCCAGAGCAGAGCTGTGATTGTTAAAGGCAAAAACGTCATTAGAGAAGCACCAGCTACCCAGCTGGGAAGATGTCAAGGTAGGGCCCAAAGAAGGCAAACAGAAGAACTGGAGCCAAAACCAACTGTAACTGAGCTGGAGACATGGCTGGAATCAAATGCTTTCCTACTGCCCTTAATCAAGATAGAATTTCTGTCAACACTTCAGACTTTTTTAAAAATCAAATGCGTCATCTGCATTCTCCCCTCACCCTCTCCAGTCAGAGTCAGAGCTCTGGGCATCATGTTTCATAGCTACATGTGCCCACTGCTACACTTTGCAGCTTTTTACTGTGTAGAGTCCATATTCCATAGTGGCACCACCCTCATCACTGACCTCCTCAGTGACCCCTTCTCTCTCCCCTCTATCTCAGACACCTCAGTTTCATACTCTTGATTCTTGAAAGAGACAACAGGGAGATAACTGTTATTGTGACTGAACTCCAGAAAGTCCATTTCAGTCAGATGAACTCATGGCATCCACTCCTCAAATCCCTACATATCCTCTAAGTCCTGCCTGGAACAGGACTGACGGTGAAGGAGCAGCTCCCTGAGAGGCATCCTGCTCCTCCGCCCACCGACTCGGGCTAGGACAGGGATCAGCCAGGAATGCTCTGGTGATTTATCACTCCTGTGCCCACCACAAGGCATCTGCAATCCCAAGAGGCTCTGCCAAGCACAGCCCAACACCCACTGCCCACTCCCTGCAGGCATTTTAAAACACCCAGTTGTGATTCTGACAGCACAACCACATTTATCTCAATCCAAAATTCTCTCTGCACCACGGCATTCATCCACCAGAAGGGAGGCATGGAAGTTTTTCCTCATTAATAGGGGCGTTCCCTAATTAGCAGGCAATGAGTGCATTTCCCCAAGCGTGATTACAGGCATGCTGTAATCCTACACAGCTCGGCGTGGATTTAAAGCATGACCCTGCTCTCCCCCACATCCATCACCTCTTGTGTCGACACGGGTGTCTGCAGCAAGCCAGCCGGGGAACCCTCACCCCCGTTCTGCAGGATCAGCTTTCACCTGGTTTGCAGAGCTGCTGAGCCAGGAAAGGAGGATCTGATCTTCTCACTTGCAAAAACACCCCAAATTCCTTCTATAAAGCAACTACTTAGTTAAAACCTTCATTTCTTTCTAGGTCTGCTCTCTACTCACTGACCTAAACGTGCTTCCAGAGCAGCACAGCTGTACCCACAGGGAGGAATAGGCAGTGGGTTCTCTGGACATCAGGTTTCTTTTGAGTAACTACACTTTGGCACGTTCCAGAAGAGTGCCTTGGCATGGTTTAGATTAGTTAGCTTTGAAAAAGGATTACACTAAATTGGAACAAGCATTCCTATCCCAGAATAAGACTGATCCAACCACAAGTGCAATAGGTATTTTGGAATAACTTCACACCTCACTCTAATCCAAATTAGCTTTAAAATACTGACACGATTCCATGACAGATGTATTCAGTGTCTTTGTCTCAATGTAGTTGTGAATTTTGTGCCAACAGCACAAACTGCCTGGACAAAGAAGCCTCCCAGTCATTCAGGCCATGGTGTTTGAGATAGGATGCAGCATTCCAAGATGAGAAACAAGGTCAGAGGGAAGGAGGATGGAGGAGTTTTGGAGAGTAGCAAGGACAGAAGTGATAGGGACACAGAAAGGTTGTGATAGGACAAGTGGGAATGGCTTCAAACTAAAAGAGGAGAGATTTAGATTAGATATTAGGGAGAAATTCTTCCCTGTGAGGGTGGTAAGGCCCTGGCAAAGGCTGCCCCATCTCTGGAAGTGTTGAAGGCCAGGTTGGACAGAGCTGGTCCAGTGGAAGTTGTCTCTGCCCAGAATGGTGATGGGAGGTTAGAACAAGATGATTTGGGTTTCCAACCCAAACCAGTCAGATCCTGAGGAAGGCCAAGGGATCTGCTTTCTTGCCACTTTGCAATATAGATAATAAGGTCCTGGTGAACTGGAGATGATGCCTTATCACAACACACCACTGGAGCTTCACAAGTTACAGATATTATTTACAGCAAACCCTAACAGGATCAGAAAGCACAATAAACAACAGACACACAAGGCTATTCTAAGTTACACCAGCAGATAAACACAAAGCCAGCTGATCCACATGCCTCAGAACCCAAGACAGGCAACCAGGAATAAGCAAGAGAAGCTTCCCCAAGTCTAAGGCAACTGCATGGGAATGTGCTCCAGCAATTCCAGGGCATTCTGCTGGGCTTCAACTTAAAGACAGGATGCTGCACTAACCAGGCAGCTTTAATTCAGCTTGGCAGCTTCTTCGTTGTCCTGCAACTCAAGAGTTTTCTGTTCTTTTTATTGGGATAGTAATCCAAGGTTTTCAGGGGTTAACATGCAAGTTGCAGCATTAGAAAGGGATATAATTGCCTCTCTGAAGTCCTGTCACCACAGCCTGGTAAGAATCATCACACCACAAAGCCATCACCTAAACTCACTCTGCATGATGCCAACAGCCTCAGAAAGTCACCCTTCATGTTTGCTTTTCCCTGAGCAGGGTTAAGTAAACACTTACAACAGTCTGGATCTACAGCTTCTCCCTCCTCTCTCGTGTCCCTTACTCAAAGTTCAATGGGGCTTTCTTGCAGCACAAAATCAACACTGGATTCACCATCCCCCAGAATGCTGCTATTCCATCATTTAATGCTCAAACTAGGAGACAAAGCCTTTAACTCTCAACAGCTGAGAGTTGAGGCCACAGAGAGTTCCGCAGACCACCCCGACCAACAGCCCAAAGTACTGGCACAGCATTTGCTCTGCTATCAGACCCGCCCCCATTCCCAAAAATAAACAGCCCTGATATCTCGTGGTCCCTAAAAAAGATCCCACAAGTTTCAGAAGACACGAAGATGGGACATTCTAAAAATAGATGTTCAAGGAAAAGTAAATTATTTTTAGCTTGCATAACCTCAACTAATTGTTACATTAAGTTGAAGGTCCTCCAGTTTAAAAAAAGACCCGCATAAAAATAGCTCCCCTAATGTTTTTTCTGTTACTTGGGCCAGGTTTTCCCTGCTTTGCTTCCCTTTTTCCTGGGAAGCAGGATTTGGACTGAGAAGTTACAGAACTTTCCGTCGTGAGATACATTGTTTCATCAGATTTCGTGGTTAGTTAGAGACTTTGAACGCTATCTCACCCCCGAGGCACCCACCCCACCGTAAGGCACAGGCCCGGCGCTCCAGTACCGTGATCCCGCCAGGGAGCGGGAACCGCCCGCCATGGCGGCTCCTCCCGCTGCCGGCCGGGGGCTCCGGGCTCAGCTTCCCCAGGGAGGGAGGGGTTCGCAATCAGCCCCCCGGGGCTCCGTTTCGAGCCCGCCCGCCAGGCACCGCGACAGCGGCTCCGGTCACGGGCTGAGCGGCCAGAGCCGCCTTCCGCATCCGTTTACCCAGCCGAGCCCTCGGCCCCGTTATCAATACCTGGGCTCAGAGAAGGCCCGGGGAACAGCCTCCTCGCTGGAACGAACAACCAGACATGGGGAAGGGCTGTGGATCGGGGAAAGAGGAGCGAGGCTGGGGGTATCCAGCCAATACCCCCGCACTCACCTCAGCAGCAGCGCCGCCGCCACTCCGCGCGGCGCCTCTGCCGCCGCCGTTAACGGATTTCAAACAGGGCTCGGCCGTCCGAACCCACCAATCAGCGCCGGCGTACGGCCCTGGCACGCGCTGATTAGCTGGACCTCTTGAGGACCCGGATAAGCAGACGCCGAGTAACGCAGTTGCGTTCTCCCTGCAAAGCCTGACGGGAAATGTAGTAGATGCTTGCACAGCGTCACAATGACCGGGCGAGAACCGAACCACAACTCATATAATGCATTGCGGGACATATTAGACCAATCAGAAAAGGCAGTGCTTTGAGTCGTTCTGGAAAGCCTATCAGCGGCTGGTGGGCAGGTGCGGCCGGGCAGGAGCCTACCGGAGCCGCGGTCTAATACTCCGGCTCTATCAGTGTCCGCTGCCCGGCTTCTCAGCACATCAGCCCTTCTGATTGTTGGGCACGGGGAAGGCAGCTTCCACCGCCTGGTAAGACTGGCCAGATTTCTCGATGCTGTGAGGAGAAAGTGCCCTTTGCAGAGCAGCGTTATCGACCCCAAGTACTGCATAATCTTCCCCGTGGCTTTGGAGAGGGATGGACAGCCAGCTGTTAACGGAGGGGCAGGCCCCGGCTGTCACAGTCGCCTTGACTGCTCCGGCACTGCCTGCATGAACCTCCTCTCACAGCCCCGC